GTTGTTGTGTCCCTTTTTTTGTGTCCTTTTTTTTTGTCTTTTTCTGCAGGTCTAGAAGCAGACTCTTGTTCATTGTTTATTTTTGTGGGACCCCCCCCCCCCTCTCTCTCTCTCTCCACCTTTTCTCTTCCTTTCTCTTTCACCTCTGTCTCCGTGTCTGGTCGGAATTACAAAGCATTCAACAACAATAACAATAAAGTTTTAAGTATCAGGCGTGACATTAAAAGCAAACGCTTTGATGCTCCACCTGAGAATAAATCTGTAAGGCTTGTCACCATTATTCAGACATCAATTCTGCTTGCTTCACAGCCAGACAGGACACGGTAAAAAAAAAAAAAAAAAAAAAAAAAAGACAGTGGGAGGGTTAACTGGAGAACGTTTGATTGCATGCAATCCTTACCTTGCTCCAAACGCTGATAGAGTGAGTCTAGGAGACCACAGTCACTAGGTGATAGAGCTAGGTAGATCTGGGTGTCATCTGCATCACTATGATTGGTAATATTGTTATTGTTTCTGACCTGACCTAGGGGGAGCATGTAGAGATTGAAGAGTAGTGGTCCAAGAATTGAGCCTTGGGGGACACATGTTATGGTGATCAGCTTTGATTTGTGGTCACCAATATAAACAACATAACCCTGTCTTCAACATAAGATTGGAAAGGTAGTCGGAACAACTCTACTCAGATCTCCCTGGAGGATGTAGAGGCTGAAGTCGAGCTCAGCCGCTACAGAGGAAATACTTTTTTCTTGATTTGGAAAATCTGTCCTTCAGTCAAGATACTAATCTTATGGCCATGGGTGAGTGCTGGAACAGAAAGTAAATCAATGCTTTTGCCTTTTGGCTGAGCAGAGCAATGCTGAACAGTGTTCTGGCTGAACAGAGCAATGCCCTCTGTGTTTCAACGTCTCAGTCAGTCAGTCCATTTATCATTCCATCCTGCAATCATTAGGCACAGACAACCTCCTCAACCAGAGGTTTCTACAACATAAAATAAAAAACGTTTATGGTTTTCTATTAGCTTTTTGTCATCAATTAAATATAGTTACACTACTTCTACCTCCACATTTTGCTGATGTTTACTGAATGCTCTTTTCCTCTAGTGAACTGAAGGTCTGTTGCTGAACAAGTAAAACTGACTCAGTGCTGAAAAGCTTGTCTTGTTGTGGTTTCTTACTCAGCATCTCTTCTCTTCTAAGACTTTTCCTTTTACACCCACCCCCATGTGTGTCTGTGGGATGGCAGAAATGTCTCTGATCACAATTTTAGATATTTTGTAACAGTGAAGCACTATTTTTCATGGAATGTCTGAAATTGTGGTTTTAGCTTTTTGACTTGTCTGAATCTCATCTTTTACAGCCTACTTATCTTTTAATGGCTCCCAGATCAGCCAGAATGCTTTGTCTGAGCTAAATCTTGTGTTTTAACCAGTGAGACACAGCTTCCTTTACTGGCCACTCACATCAATCTATGCAAGTACTCTTGAGACTGAATTTGTTGTCTTTTCTTTTAAAAGCAGCTCCATGTAATGTATTTCAATCAAATAGTGTCTGTTTCTGGGTGCAGGTCTAAATCTTAACTCATGAGTTTTGATCCTGAGGCCATGTAACTCATTTTCATTTCTATTTCATTAAAATGAGTCGAGTGGAGGCCACCATATAAAGATCATAAAATGTCCAACGTGCTCTCCCTTGGAGTTATTACATTCATCATCATTTCATTACATTTCCTTAATTAAAGATTCTTAAAATGTTCCACGAAACATGAATTTAAAGGGAAGTCTGCACATTTTATGTCTATCTTTTATCAATTACCAAGTGCTTAAGAGAATGATGAAAGAGAAAGATCATTTTGTGATTGTACAGGGTTACATTATTTAATGTTTATTTGTTTGTTTGACTAATAAAAACTCTTGTCTCATTTTGTTATTTTAAAAGCTCATTCTTCTGCTCTGGTTGGTCAACAGGGTAAATTTAGGGTGTTTTCTAAATCTGCAATGACTGTAAATTCCTGTGATTGTGATTGTGTAAATTAAACTGGTGCATTTTGGCCCCTGATGTGATTCATTAGAGCAGGAGTCACACCTGGATGCAGACAAAATAAACCGGAGAGCATGGGTCCTCTATGGTTCTTAATGACCTTAAGGACATTGTAAATATAGTGTGAATGTGGCTGAACCTCAAGTGACACAACTAAGAGGTATGTGTTGCAAGTTTGAGGCAAAGGCTTAGCTGTTGCCAGGTTTGCATTGCATTCTGGGATGCAATGGGTCACATGAATGTCAGTAACTACTAATTAGATCATAACAGAACTGAGGTATAAACATGGTATGGTACTATGCAAACCTGTTAGGCAGGTGTGGAAAAAATGATGTAAACTAAAAATGCTTTCAGACATATAAATAATGATTGTTTATTTCCATTATTCTGACCCCAAACCCCAAATAAATAGCTCTGATCCCAGCCTCATGGAGTGTGTTTGGGATTATATGAATAGACATAAAGATGTGAGGAAGTCTACATCCACAGAAGAGAAAAAGAAATGTTTTGAAGAGTGGAAGGAAACTGGAGTACTTGATGAAAACCCAGTACCACCATAAGACCAACAAAGCATAAAGTGAAATGTTTTTCACATTCTGTTGTTTCACCACATCTATTTTTATTAGAGGAGCCAAGCAGGTCTTTTAAACATACGATTAAAGCAGCCAATCACATTACTGGTCTATGTGTGGAAATTGTGAAAATATTCATATAAATGTGAAATAAGCAGCTCTGGTTTAATGCCCAGCACACAACGTGTGCTGTTACACTTTTTAGCTGTTTTAAAATGAAATAATAATGTTGGCTGCACAGAAAATAACAAAAAGGGGGGTTTTCAATGAACTAGTCAGCAACTTTTTATAAAACCAGTAGGTTAGATAAACTTTAGGAGCGAGTAATGAGAAGGATGAGTGTTAACTCCGCCCACATATACAGAAATTGCAGGAGTAGGTTAAAGCAACAATGTGAAGTTTTCATCATCATCATCATCATTTCTCTTTGTGCCAGGAGGCACATAAGGCAAGGACATCATTTTTCCACAGGGATCGATTTCCAGCTGCACTTCTTGTTGAGTTCAATGAACACCATCCTGCTGTTTCTCTCTGCCTCAGCCACTTGCCGCCAAGTTGTTTTAGGTCGGCCTCTTTTCCTTCGACCTTCAGGCGCCCAACCTAGAGCCACAGCGCAGTCACTCGTCTCCTCCTTTCGCAGCACATGGCGGATCCAGTTCCATCTCCTCCTCCTCACCTCATCGCTGATCCTCTCTGTCTGTGCCATCTCTAGCACTGTCTTGTTGGAAACATGCTGTTGCCACCGGATCTTAAAGATCCTCCTTAGGCACTTCGTTTGGAAGGTGTCGAGTTTCTTTTCTTCTCCCTTTGTCAGTTTCCATGTCTCACATCCATATAGTAGCACGGACAGCTTTTGAACAGAGAAGTCTTTGTCTTTGCTGATGTCACTGGCCATCCAGATGTTTGAAAGCTGTTTGTGCCTTACACTTGCCAAGCCGACCCTCCTCTTGATATCCGCTGTGCCTCCACCATCTTTAGTGACACTTGCCCCCAGGTATGTGAAGCTCTCCACCTCCTCCACTTCTCTTTCTCCCACTTTCAGCTTATCTTCCCTCTTACTGTTCACCTTCATGATCCTACACTTTCCAGCATTCAGCCTCAGACCAACTTTAGCTGCATTCTTCTCCAGCCTAGTTGTTTTGTGTTGAAGATGTGCCATTATTGAGGACAGTAGGGCAATGTCATCTGCATAGTCTAGGTCCTCCATCATGGTCATGAAGTTCCATCTTATTCCGGTTCTTTTACCCTCCACAGTTCTCCTCATGACCCAATCTATCACCAGTAGGAACAAAAATCCTGACATACAGCACCCTTGTTTCACTCCTGTTGTCACTGGAAACCAGTCTGTTATTTCATTTTCATCAATGACGGCGCACTGAAAGTCTGCGTACAGGATCTTGACCATCTGAATCAGCTTAGGGGAAATTCCATATTGGCGCATGATAGTCCAAAGGCTTTCTCGATGAACAGAGTTGAATGCTTTTTCAAAGTCAACAAAGCGGATGTATCATGTTGCGTTCCATTCATTGACCTGTTCCAAGATATTCCTAAGAATGAATATCTGGTCTACAGCTCCTCTTCCTTTCCTAAAGCCAGCTTATTCTTTCCTCAGTGATGGATCAACTCCTGTTTGAATTCTGTTGATCAGGATCTTACTAAGCACCTTGCTGACCAGAGGCAACAGCGTGACGCCTCTCCAGTTCCCGCATTCCTGAAGGTTGCCTTTCTTAGGGATTTTGCAGATGAGCCCTTTGGTCCATTGGGTTGGCACTATTTCTTTTGCCCAAATGATGCCAAGGATTCGTTTTAACTCTAAGCTGGTTCGTTCGATGTCTACTTTCAACATTTCAGCTGACATTTGGTCTATATCAGGGGCTTTTCCGTTTTTAAGGGCCTTCAATGCAGTCTTGATCTCTTCCATTGTTGGAGCTTTAGTTGGAATATCCAGCTCATCCTGTTCCTCCTCCTCCGTTTGTGGTGGTTCTTCTGATTGCTCCCTGTTGAGCACTTTCTTAAAGTGTTCCTTCCACCTCATTAGTCTGGCTTCCTTATTCTTCAGCAGCTCCCCGTTCTTGCTCCTGACTGCTGCTGCCTGCCTGGTGTTCTGACCTGTTAGTCGTCTCACAATGTTATACAGTTCTTTCTGCCAACCTTTCTCCGCTGCCTTTTGAGCTCTCTCTGCCTTCTCTGACATCCACATCCTCTTGTCCTCTCTGACACTTTTTTTCACTTCTCTGTCCTTCTCCCTGTACTCATTCCTCAATTTATTCTTGATTCGTTCTGAGTGGGTACTGTCAGTCTCTGTCTTGATAGTTTTTCTCTCATCGATCAGTTTCCAGGTGTTATTGCTGATCCACGACTTGTTCTTTCTGTCACGATTTGGTGTAGTAGG